CCTTCCTGGGTGCCAGCTCCAATAGCCATTCAAATGTGAACTACATCACAAACACGGACAGATACAATCATGGCAAACATAGTGTGAACTTCACTTTGGTGTGAATAGATTCAGTGATCTTGAATCTATGCTACTCAGAAACCAGTTTAAATGCAAGTGGGAATGAGCCCTAAGAGGAAATATTACCTCTATAATCTGGGAGACTGCCAGAGAGATATGCCTCTGCATAAGAAGAAGAATTCAGATCAAGATACCACAAAGCCAAATTCAGAAGTCTGAACTGAGTTATTAGTGGAATTTAATTTCATCTAATGTAATATTTTTCTCCATGGGACAGCTGTTGAGCATGATCCATGGGAAACAAAATGCTGTGTCAAAACCGAAAGGGTGATATGGATTTTACAATGAAGATCTGTAAGCAGGATCTCTCTCTCTCTCTCATTCTCTCTCTCTAATTAATTATTTAGTTTTTTCCCCTGCAGAATTTGAAATGTGAGCTGACTGTATGTATGCTCCTCCCTGGGAACAAGGGTGAAAAGATGCATATGAGAAAGGCCCCTGTGTCATTGCAGGATGGAGAATTTTGGGAAGTGTAGTTTGTGATATGAGAAGGTGTGGCAAGGAAAAACAGGACTAAATCGGGGAAAGGCAAAAGAATGGCAAATTCTAGGGTTCCAGGGTAGATCCAATTTCCACCCCCAGGACCCTCCACAGCCAATACCACACCTGGAAATGCCAAAAGATCTGGGGGTGGGGTAAATCCAATTTCCTGAACATCCAGATTTCACTGAGTTGGCTTGCCAGCAAGGAAGAGTCAGCAACACTGCTGTTCTTAAAGGCTTCTAGGAGAAGAGCATTAGCTTTCCAATCTGTTAAATTAATTTTAAGGGAATCTTTGGAAGGTCTGGGGAGCATGAGAGGCTTCAAAGAAGTTTGCTGAGGGCTGCTTGCAGCTGATGGCCCACCCTCTGAGCCTCTCTGAATTTAAAGGTACAAGATCCTGCCCACCTTTGCTTTGGTGATCTTAATTCCTGTGGAAATGTATTTAAAATGCTATTTCAGAATTAAAAGTTCACAAGGAAAAAAATGGATTTCATTGCAAAAATCCTCCTATGAAGAGCAGATTTATATTAATGCTAGGATGAAAACACACAGAAAGAGGGACAGAAAAGAAAGGGAAAGGGGGGGG